CCTCTGGGAACGGCCCATTGGCTAAATCCGCCACTGGCTCAGACCCGCCTCCATGAGGCACACCCATAGCTGGGGCTGGAGATCGGGGCAGCAGCGTGTGGCACCAGCAGGAAAGGGACATGGCTGGACACTGAGCCAGGGTCCGGGAGTCCCAGCCTGTGGATTTGGGGGGCTCCGGCCCTGATTTGGGGGGGGCCTGGATGCTAAGTGTGTGGGCCGCAGCCCACCCATGGCTATGCCCCTGCTTGGTATGAAAATGAAATGCTCCCCCTGGTGCCTGTTGAGATGCTACCGATAAACCTCCTCTGGTGGTGTGCGCCATCACAAACTCGGATCAGACGCCTGGTTCATCCCAAGACTTCGTCATTATGGCAGATTGTTTGTAACACACCCTGCGCGATTTTAAGGTTTTGTGTCCAAATGGGGCAAAATTTGTGGTTTCCCAAGTTTTCTGCATGGAAGCAGTTCTGTGTGATATTTCATGGAGGTTTTGGCTAGAGAAGTTCAGATGGGACATATATCCATCTGGATCAAAACCAGGCAGCATTTGGGGGAGCCCCTAGGAAGTGAAATTATATCTTTCAGTCTGCTCCAGCTGTTACCAGCTTTTGATCAAGATTCCTCGTGAGGGGAGATAACGCTCTTGTAGAATTGAACGTGTGGAACAGCCCTGTGCTGTGTTTGACAATAGTGAACGTAATAATTGTGCTTTGCACCTTCCATCCCGAGCTCTCAAAGCGATGGACAAGTGAAATCTCACCAGACCCCCCCCTGCAATGTAGGTTTTAGTGTCTTCATTTCCCAGGCACTGAGACAGATGCGCAGAGATCAAGGACAATATTTTCAAACTTGCATGCCTGATGTTAAGCACCTATGATCATCCTGAGTTTCAGAGGCGTAGAGCAACCACGACTCCCGTTGAGTTCAACGTTGGCCAACGTGACTTGCTGGGTGGTTCAAGGAAGTTGGAGGCGGAGCTGGAGATAGAGCTCGGATCTAGGGACCCCACTCCCTTGCCTTAAACCCCACAACCATTTGCTGCTATTAATTACAGGGGAATGGTTGCCAGGAGGAGAATCTTGGCCCATAGCGACCAAACACTTCTGCTTATCCAAACTCATGCAGGGCTGGCCACACAGAGAGATTTCTGATGCTCCTCACTTCTGCTTGAGCCAGAAATCGAGTGGGAAGAATCATTCAGCATTTCCTGTCCCAGCTCATGAGAAATCCAAGGGGAGGGAAGTCGATCAAACCTCTTTGAACCTCAGGAAAGTTTTGGCCGGAGATTTTCATGAAGAATTAGTGGTGGTTGGTGGCTCGTCTTTATGACTTATTATTTTAGTAGGGTAGCATCCTTGGGGTGCTGGAGAAGACCGTCCTTGCAAAGGGGAGTGGGTAGGGAAACAACCTGCAAGCAAACAAATCTGATGAAGGATGGGCCCAGCTTTGTTAGCTATGTGTGTGTGGATTGGGGTTTGGTTTGTCTTTTTAACTGGGGGCAGAGGTGAGGAGGGAAGAGGGACAGTCACCGTGAAAAGCCGCTTGTCCACCCCTGTTTAATACACAAACCAGTCGAGGCTCACCCAGTCCTGGACATGCTGACAGAGCCCAATCTGGGCATGCAGACTACGATGCTCCAGCCCTCTCCCAGAGCCCCGTGGCTGCTTCTACCATCCACATGTGCTGTCTTCGTTCCTCCCCTCTTGCAGGCTCTCCGGGTGCTACGAGGCCCTGGACGGAGGCAACACAGCGGATGCACTAGTAGATTTTACCGGCGGCGTCTCTGAGCCCATCGACCTGATCGAAGGGAACTATATTAACGACGAAGCCAAACGAAATCTCCTCTTTGAGCGAGTGCTGAAGGTCCACAACCGGGGAGGGCTCATCAGCTGCTCCATCAAAGTAAGACATGGGCAGCGTTGTGGTTTGTCTGGTAGCCGCACTGAGAGGTCCCAGTCAGGGATTATCTGGGCTCTGTGCACACACACAGTGAAAGGATGGTCCTGTTAATCCAGATAGATAGTGTGAGCCTGCTTTAGATCTCTCTGCCGCTGGAGTGACGCCTGATCTTCCCCGGGGAGATCAGAATCGGGCCCCTTGGTGATGCAGACACTTAAAGGAGATTTTATTTTCGGAGTCCCTATTGCAGTGCGTCTGGGCTGGCTTACAAAAGGCTGGGCTGATTTGCAGTGCATCTGGGCAGTTGGCTTTCAACCTGCTGTGGACGTGGTCACTCGGTCACTGCGATGCTAGTACTTCCCGGGTTCGCCCGTAACAACGGAACCTCTCTCCCGACGTCCCGCGCACACACCTCATCACGTGTCATAGAGCCTGGAGAAGGGACAGTCTCTGTACAAGATCTAGACACCCCCCTGCTTTTTTGCAAACGAATGCTTGTTCCCTACAGTGTATTCTCCAGCCTGGTGCTATTTTAACTGTCTCGGGTGCTGAGGCATCCAGCACTTCCCTCAGGAGATTGTGTCACGGCCGGACTGCGTCAGTGTTCCCTGATAGCCAGCACGCATCTCCCTTCGCTCACTTTCCCCCCGCAGGACATTCGGCTTTCCCACTCCCCCTTCTGGAGCTGCAGACCCGTGACGATCGTAACGGGGCAGCTCTTCTACCTGGGATCCACATGCAGCGGATGCCCTCTGCTTGGTGCAGAAGGGGCTACCCAGCTGCCTCTGTGGCACCGTCCCTCCCCACTTTCCTGGGGTTCCATGGAGCAGCTCGCCCTGGGTTTGGGGATCTGCACAGGGAGGGAGCAGGGACAGGGACAGGACTAAGGAAGTAAAATCTCCCCGTCCCCCCAGCCACACGCAGCCTGCTAGGAAAAGTTCTTACAGTCCCAAGCTGTGTTACCTTCCGCAAGCACCTCCACGCTGGGGGAAAACCCTTGGTGTGGGGGGTAGGGGTGGGCTGGGAAGCAGCCACAGCTAGGGAGACCCTGGTAATGCAGGTCCTGGAGTGAGTTCAGAGGCCTCTTGCCTTCTGGAGACCCCCAGAGCTGTGAGGATCTGTTGGTTCATCTCCGGCTGAGGTGCAGGAGACAGCAAGCCTGTGGGGATTCGAACTTCCAGCTGCTTCTTTGCCAAAGTGTAAATTTCTCACTCATACCCTTTTCCCCGCGAAAGAATGGCCGCCTGACCAGGTGATAGTCCACCTGATTTTGTTGATACCTGGCTGAGCCGTCAGTTTGCCTTTTGTCTATGAGGAGCCGGTTTGTGCCTGCCTTTTCTAAACTTGGAATATGTCTCAATAATGTTATACAGTAGAGTCTTATAACTTTATATACAATGTAAAGGGTGACAAAAATGACTAGGGATGTGGAACAGCTTCCGTATGAGGAGAGATTGATAAGTCTGGGACTTTTCAGCTTGGAAAAGAGACGACTAAGGGGGGATATGAGAGAGGTCTATGAAATCATGATTAGCGTGGAGAAAGTAAATAAGGAAGTGTTATTTACTCCTTCTCATAACACAAGAGCAAGGGGTCACCAAATGAAATTAATAGGCAGCAGGTTTAAAAAAAAAACAAAAGGAAGTATTTCTTCATACAACACACAGTCAACCTGTGGAACTCTTTGCCAGAGGACCTTGTGAAGG